TATGGAGAAACTGTTTAAACATTTTAGCCTCTGGCTGTTGAACTGGAAAGGCCCCGCTTCACATAACAATCTTATATTTACCAAAGGTCCATGAACTTAAAATGATATAAAATCTAATTATTTAAAAGTTCTTCCCACTTTTAAATTTTTTATTACTGATGTTTTCACGCTTGCTGGGGCGGCAGATCTCCCCATTTGCTTGGTTTTTAATATTCAACTGTTATTTCAATTTTATCCTAATAACGTTATTTATATCTTTGGAGCGATAAGCGATGTTCAAGCTTAGGCTGTTTGTTTGCTCAAGTTTGACTAGCATTGAGATCGTTTTGTCGTTCGTGAAATGAAAGCTTTTGGTTTGAAACTAAGTTGATTACATTCGTTTCGGCTTGTAGGAAGAATATATGCAAGAAGGCATTCAGTGGACCCCGATAGACTATTTTAATAATAAGGTCGTGTGCGAACTGATCGAAGGTAGAAATCCACCTGGGATATTCGGCATCTTAGATGATACTTGTTTCCAAATGCACGGACAGAGTGAAGGAACGGACTTAGCGTTCCTCAGAGTGAGTAACGATGTACTTTAGCCGAAGGGTCGTAATTTTCTACGTTTGAAATTTGAGAATCTTAATCAGCATGTGTCCAGTCATGACCACTACCAGTCGGCCGCTGACGGTTTCGCTGTGCGCCATTACGCTGGCGTCGTTTCGTACAGCATCGACGCTTTTTGTGACAAAAACAGGGATCCACTGTTCCTGGACCTGGTTGAGTTGATGCAGAGCAGCAGAAAGTACGTACGCCTGGACGACTTTCTTGAAGCTATGCGTTGTTTTTTGTTTCGAATTGTCGACATGCCTCGTTTTAGCTCGTTTTTCGTTGATCTCTTCCCAGAAAATGTGCATCGCGCGATTAAGACACGACCAACTACACTTGGCGACAAGATTAAGGTAGGTTGCGGTGGCCACCGTTCATTGCTACCTAGCATGGTCAGTTTGTGTCATTCAGGTGCAAGCCAACGAATTGCTTAGATCCTTGATGCAATGCTATCCGCATTACATTCGGTGCATTACTCCAAACGACAACAAGAAGGCTTCTGACTGGAACGAAATGAGGTAACGCATCGACACGATCGTAGATAAGCGCGTCGTTGCATGTGAACGTAGTGAAGGGTAGGCGTGAGTGCCGCCAGAGACTGTTTCTAAGCGTTCAGCAGATGGCTGGTAAGGCAGTAGTGGCACAGCGGGTTGTATTTTAACTTTACACTTAAGAAGATCAGAGTTTGAGTCTCAGTGCAGTGTAAAAGTTTTCACACGACAGTTGTTAATTCCTGCTGTGCTCTAGCGTGACTAGTCTAGAAATGAGTCGTAAGTCATCGACTCGCGAATAACAATAAGCTGGATGGTGTTCTGGTGTGGCCATGCCAGAGCATTAGTGACGTGCGGTAATGTTGATGATGAGTACGCCATACGACCGGAGTTCGCCTTCGCTTGATGCCTAATGGCCTGATACCTGCCTGATAGCCGATGAATAGTCTGCTCAGTGTGTTATCTGTAGGTTAACAAACATTAAAGCATTGCAGCGCAACATTCTAACTTGACCAAAAAGTATGCAATATAAGAAACTCTGGCTTATTCAACAAAACGTCCTTAAATAGGGTTATAATGTAGGTAACGAATATTCAAGCGGCATCTTTTGTAACAGCGAGTTGTCAGCTCGATGATAAGTTTACTGCTTAAACTTGACTGTCAAGATGTTTTTGATTTTAGCGTAGATAGTAACACAGAATTATCCAATTGCGACTAGGCTGCATATATGAATCACAGGTAATCTGGTAGCAACAGAATTGAAACAATATTGAGCAACGTGACAGTAAACAGATCAAGTACTAAAAAACATGGAAACAATGATAGAGCTGATAAACACAGAGCGTACTAAGTGATGCTACATAATTGAGTGTCTCATGATTCACACCAAAATTGGGGTGATTGGCATTCGGGGAGCTCCACTTGTCCTACGGGTATATTCTGATGTGATACAATTTGCGAGGTTTCCGCATAGGAAAAAATGACTCTTGTTGATTATGTTGACCATAGGAACTCTATGCAAGACTTGCGATCAACGGCGTGCCGTATGAAATCCTCAAAAGATGGTTGCTGCATTTAAGGTTAGCATGACGGAATGTCTAAGAGCTTTGTATTCGCTTTCAGCAGTTCTGAAAAGCAGTTGCCTCAGTGTACCCGAATGCTAGCTGCGCGCGTGCGATACTAGGTTCTTAATTCATTCTAATGTTCAGGTCGATTTCTCAGTGTCTAGATGGAGAAGACGCTCAAACTCAGACCGCTAATAACTGAACATAGTCGGAGGACAGTGTGACACCCACCTATTTGATAGTTACGGTGATAATCATTCTCGCGTCAGGGAGAACAGCATTCTCGATGACGAATTTTTCTACACTTGGTTGCGATACGGTGTACGTTGCAGATTCACTGAAATGTCTTACGTGGTTAAGCTAGAGTTCATTGACAGAAAGGCTATGGTAAAACATTATGCTCAACTCTGCCAGTCTACGTCTGCTGTCAGTTCACGAGAGATCTCGCGAAATGACTTTCATCCTTAAAACAGTTAGGAAAACTTTGATCGAAATGTTTTCCGTCACGTGTTAGCCGTATCTTTTTATCTGTAAATGGGAACTGGCACTCTTAACTCGTCAGATCTGTTGTCCAAATATTCCAGATGATCCTTTTTGGTTGAAACACTGCTTTACACAGCCAGTCGCTTGAGCGTTTAGAGTCATTTTTATTGTGCTAGCTGGTTCATTGGACTGATTTATATTAGGCATTGCTTTTGGCATGCTTTTACATGTTGGGTTTATGTAGCTTTGAGTTCAGCTTATTATAGCGAAGTCTATTGCGAAGTTTTTACCCTGGAATCTAGCGGCGTTGAGCTACCACGTAAAATCGTACTTGCCGGTGTTTTATTCATCCTTGTCATGTATCTGATAATGAAAGAACATGCAAAGGCAGCAAAAATTTCCTTCAGTGTCGCTATGAACTGGGTACGAGTTTGTCTCAAGCGTGAACATCTTTTAAAACGAAAACGTTCGAAACCAGAGTTAAAAACATGGGAATGCTTGAGAGAAAATTGAGTGGTAAAACTAGTAGTCTTCGTACGCCACAGTTTATGAGGGTTTCTTTAATCGATTCTGAACCGTCCTATTGCTCAAAAAGCGGGAAAAATTCTAATTCCGAAAGTCCTTAATTATTCAGTTTCTAGTAATGAATTTGTTCAGCGTACGCCCACTTTCCCTTGCTTTAGTCGCCCAGGGTGGATCATTTAAATAAGCCACGACTCGGTGGCATTTAAGTGCATGCAATGCATTGGATGCAAGTACATCACTAAGTTGGGCCGAACAAGGGCGTGTTCGAAAACCAACTGAATTTTCCACTATCCGTAGGCTAATTACAGACATAAGATAATCCTGGTGTTCTGGGCTGGCTACCGTTTTGTACAGCTTGGTAGTTATGTTGTTATTTGATAACTACGCTAAAACTTCAGTGCTTTCTTCTGTTTAGTCCCTAATTTGTTGTCATCGATTTATGTCAGTCACGTGAAAATTGACCTTTTGACCAACTTAATGTGGTATCGATTTCTTTCTTGTCTTGACCAATTCTTAGGGTGCGACATCAAGTCGAATATCTTGGCCTGAAGGAAAACATACGCGTTCGAAGAGCCGGGTACGCATATCGCCGTTCGTTTGAAAAGTTTCTGCAAAGGTAATTATTTTACTGACACTTTCGGTTTTTCTTGCGCTGTTATGTAAGGTTTATGATGTTCCGTTAAATGTCTCAGTGAAACAAAATGTTTGTTTCTTTTTGGTTTTAATCAACATCCGCAGCCGTTTGTAGTTGTAAAACTTCGCTAGCTTTTTATGTTTGCTGCTTTTCTAGCTTTTTAGCACCTGGATGTAACGCAGTAGTTACAACGTCCGATGGTCGTAGAATCAACTATTCTTCCGGCCAACATCTTTTTTCCACCAGTGTTGGAGGTTAATCTTTTTCCGATGTTCACCGCTCATTGATTTCCACCTTCCTTCAGCGGTTCTCGCACTTCAGAGTTAGGCTGTATTCTGCCAGTTTGTCAAATAAGTTCTACCTTTTTATTTAAGCTCGCATGCAGCTGATGTTGCGTGTGCCCAGGAAAGAATCGAGCATTCCTAACATGATTATGATATATCCCTTTCATTTTGAGTCAGTGCCAGCTCTGTTTTGCATTATTTACCAGTCATTCTTTCCAATGACGGCTTCACTGTTGCGTAATAACGCTGTCTTGATCGAGGCAAGTTATCAGAAATTTTAGTGCAAGAGGTATTTCATTATCCGATATGTCAATCCAAATATTAGATAAACTACCGAAGTCGTTAAGGGGATGGTCGAATTTTCTACTTAGCTTTTACTGATTGATGCTACTCTGGTGATGAAGAGGCTGGAGGGCGATAACATTATTTGCCTCCTTTGCTGTTGCACGTTCTATTATAGCTGCGGATCTGTTGTGCCCCCTGAATTGCTTGGAATGTTTGATTACTGACCGTTATTAAAGAGACCAAATTTTGCTGCAGTGCTGCATGTCGAAGCCATCATATGGCTAAATTTTTTTTCTCGTGCTGGCTCATCAGGAATTGATTGGAAACTATTAAAATTGCCATTCTTCGACTGTAACGAAATGCCTTTTGGTCAGTAAATGTGTCATCGTGGCATTGTCGGTTGCGTTCGAACTCACTGTTGAAAGATCCGATCTTAAAGCCTGATTGACCTTGCTAGCTGTAGCTTTTTAAAATTCGGATGCAAATGTCGCTGCTTACGAATTTAACCATATAATGCGCGCTAACTATTTTGCGTGTCTCCTTGTTGGTGCTACCCGCCAGGAATACGTAACTTACAACATCATTATGCATTTCGTGTTTCCTCTCCTGCTTACACGTCTACCTGAGGTTGAAGGACGAGTCTGCTGATTCAGCGTCAGACCGTAATAGAGGACATCGACTGTGGCATAGCCTGCTGTTTTCTCAGCTCAGTGAGAAGACCAATGGAAAGTGCTTGTCTCAGCCTCAGTAGAACGTTTTGCTGTAATTTGGAGTGATTATCTTTCTTTACTTACAGCCCTATGACAGGAGGTTAGCAGATTTCACTCGACTCCTTACTGGGAATTTGCTAGGCTTAACTACTTGTAAACTGTGAATCTCACTATCGACAATATCGCGATAATGGGACGAAACTATTTAAAATTTCAAAGCAAATAACACCTAATTTTATTTCTGCTGCACCTACTGATTCATTAAAATTAATCGTTTGCTTACAACAGCCGTAGCTCTCGCGGATGAACTGCATTTGTCAGTCGCAGTGATAAGTTAGTTCTTTTGAAAAGATAATTGTTACTTTGCGAATCTTAAACGACCAAATTCACGCTAACTTTGTCAACGTGTCTGACGTTTCGCTTATACTGGTGACTGTGTGTATGGTCATTTCTTATTGTTTGCGTTTTGTGCATGTCGTATTTTCTTTATTTATGTAAGATAAAATACGTCTTGACTGACTTGTAAGAAGCTCGGAAGCTTGTAATGGCTGATTAAAGTCAGGACTGTCTGGTACATTTTAAATACGTCGATTAGCGATAACTTGTTTACGTTCTGCTTTAAGGTACGGTATATTGCTTCACAGAGTAAAGCAGAATAGGCGCAAGGACGTCCGCGAATCGATTATAGAAATACTGAACAGTGTAAATATCGATCCAGGACAGTTTCAGTTGGGTCACTCGAAGATTTTTATCAGAACTCCCGAAGCGGTATGTTATATGACATTGTGCATCGTTATTTCACTCGTGGTTGGTGTTGTTAATAATTTGAGCGATTCCTAATTAAGTCAGCAATCACTACAGCCGTAAACTGTTCTGTGTTAGTTGCCTGAGGTTAGTGAGCTTCTAACAGGACAGTTTACTAGCCCAGGTTAGTTTTGCATGAATTGGTCTTAGCGACTTCTCAGTTTTAGATTAGGCATTGCTGACTGCTGCAAAAGTATCATATTGCGTACCGTTCCAAAGTTTTGTTTATTTGCCATTTTTCTCTAAGGTTAACAAAGCCTGAGCGACAGAGTCACTTCTGCTCGCAGTGTTTGTTTGACGTTTGACGCGTTTGAAGTGGCGTTTCAGTTTCTCTATAGGCAGATATTTTGGCCGTATGTTGCATAATCGTGCCTGAATCGTACGATGATCCAGTTTTCCGTATTTTATCGATTGGCACTCCTTTTTCTGTTGTCTGCATCGCAGCAGCGTGGTACATTTGTTGCTCAACAAATTAGCAGTTAAAAATACCGCCTTCAACCGGGGATCGAAGGTCGCGGTTCACGTATGTGGAACCGACGACATAAAATTGCACAACTGATATTCAGTAGTATATCATTTAAAAATGCAGTTTTGCCACTTTTCGTCACTGCTAGAACGTAGAATTTCAGCAATCTGAGTTAGCTTGGAATTCAAAACTCTAATGATAAAAGTATTCCAGAAAACCCATTGTGGCTGGTAGAAGGTTAGCAATAAAGCACTGACGTGTCATCCGTTTTGCATTGGCAGAGTAACGTTATAACTGCGTAGTTGATATATAAACGACCGTGACTACATTCGAGGAAAGCAAGCGACTACGCTAAGTGTTTGCTGCTTTTTACTTAGTCGTTGCTGCCCTCGTAAGTAAATGCACTCCTCGTTGATGATGTCGAAACTTTGGTCACAATCGCCTTTAAAGAAGGTAGGTAGTTGCAAATGCGCCCCCCCCCAACCCCCAGAAAATGTCTAAAAAGGCTGGTTTTTCTGCAGCTACAATTTTTCTGTTTCCAGGTTTCGTTCTTGCAAACCAATGGTACCAAATTCAAATTCAGTGAATGGCATACATTTTCATATTCTGATGCTGATTCTCTT